GGGGGGGGGGGGGGTGTGGAAAAAAACCAGAGAGAGCCAGCTTCTAACTAGTGTACAACTTAGAAGACATTAAAGATCTCAAACTAAACAGCTAGAATGTGTATACCGAGTTGCACATTGACCAGTTCATATATATTTATTTGGCTATGTTCTACATATATATCTATATATATATATATATTTATACCTTTGAAATGTTCTAGATTCTCTAAATAAATATGAAAGCAAAGGAAACGTTATTTTTACACATTATTGTTTGGCTGTCATAAAAATATAACATGAACCGTCTCGTGGTTGGTATTTTGCTTCAGGATAGCGTGCAATCGTGTTTGGTTTTTTTTTCACTTTCAGAATCATGTTCCCAGTGCAGAACGCTAACGTAACATTATTTGATCTAAAATGACCTTAGAACATTTTTTTTTGTTTTTTTTTTTAATCATTTGGGTCTCTAGGCTATAGTGCAAAATTAAGAAACACGAAGAGAATCGTTCTAGCTACAAAATAAATAAATAAATAGAAAACATGGATACAGAAAGATTAACTGCCTCCATCTGAGGCTGTTCTTGAACAAGAGGGTCCAGATTTATGAATCTGGTGGAGCTCTCATGTACGATGTCTGGCCTGTGTGTGAGTATGACTTCAGCCTCCAGTGCTCTTATTAATAATCCATCCACTTATCGTTAGACATGTTGTCACTTTCATCGAAAATGACACTGGATTTTTTTTCTTTTTTTCCCCAAATTTCTCAAACATGATTGAAGGCATTTTCTTATACCACCCCGAATGCAGGGTTTTGTAATGTCATTTGGTTCTTTATACATCTGTATTCTCATAAGAAACGCTGCCTCAAAATGCATCTTAGAATGCCTACCCATGAACTGGAAATGCCAAACCTGCTTTCAGGGACAAACTTGTAATACATGCCACTCTTTGACCTTTGGGCATAATAATGCGAACAATAATAATCAAGGCAGTATTAAAAAACCACAGCTGTAGGTAATACAAAGTGCATTTCCTGCATATAATACAAATATAACTTTAAGAAACTAAAGGCACAAGCTAACTAAATAAGTATTACATACTAGAAATGCACAGTTCAAGGTAATTACTAAGAGCTTCCAATAGTTGTTTATAATGGATATTTAAAGCAGTTTGAAAATGATACATCATCAGTGAATTGCAAAAAAGTATAATCGCTTAAAATATAAGTAAAATAGACTCTAATATTGACATCTTGGATCAGTGATAAAATACATCATCACGTTTATGAATGCACTCTCTATATACAATTCATAAATTATTTTTTCTTCATTGATTAAAAGCACATTAGAGGCTCAAGGATCTGAAGGTCCATTTTTAGGCTAGTGTGGAGGTATTCAAAGTCTCCATGATTTTACAGGAAATTACTGAAATCAGAACTATCAGTCAGCTCCAACTGCTGTACGTTAGTTAATGATGAGCCCAATTGCGTGGTTTACCTCTGGATTTAGATCCAAGTTTTCCCAGAGTCTGGGGTGTGGCACTTTGACTAAGACCCTCATTAGGCTGGATCCTGCACTGTCGAACTGCAGTAAGTCTACAAAGGGGTTCACGTTGTGAAGTTGAGAACTGGATCCAAACTTCCCCAACGCTTTGGCTGGGTTTCGGATCTGATGTCCCAACTCAGGCTCATCTCTAACTCTGGTACAGTTTGCTCCACTTGCCCAAAAACAAAAGGAAAAAGAAAGAGAAAAGGAAAGAAGGGGGAGAAGTTGCATTGGCTCAGCTAAACATAAGCTAAGACCGCTTGAATGTACTTACTATGCCTGTTTCAGTAGAAATGTGCAATAACATCATTGTTATGGATACATGATCCTAAAACAAAACTTTAAATCCCTTCTGAAGTTTGCAAAGACAGGTTGTGGATAATCCACGGCCTCCCCCTTCCCCCCCGGCGCACACATGAGACAATCGGGTCCTTTAAAAGTGACAGGTTGAAAGAAAGATCACGTATTCTACTATGAAATCACTGTGCTGGCAGCTCATGATCGCCTGTGAAATACAATCCCTTCCCATGCAATATCATGCTTTGCTATGTGCTCTAGATATCGAGCCAAAAGAGTGAACAGTCATCCCCAAAATGTTCTACATGTAATAGCATTTACCGTCCGCGCTCAGGTTCCTGGCCCAGCCATCTTTTCTGATGAAAAAATGACGAGTACAACATAACTGTTAATGGGAGATGACAGACAGACTAAAACCAATATCGCTGCAATTTCCAGATGAAGAATCCCTGTCCAGTGAACATGAAGAACGCTGTGCTCTATAGTCATACAGAGTTTCTGTTACCCTCGTTGGCACAGAGGGAACCCTCCCAGGCTTTAAATTTGTCCCAAGTAGACAAATAGGACGCACTAAATTAGAGCCCGATCCAAACCCACTGGAGCCAATGGACAGACTCCAACAAGCTTTGCATCAAGCCACGTGCACATTTCTGTCTGCTTTCCTAGCGGTGGCACCATGTGCTACTGGATCCCCCAGCTGGGAGGGCTTTCAACACGTAAGTGAATCTGGCCCAACCCAGCGCGGACTGAAGTCCTCGGGGTGAGAGGCGTACAACATCATCACATGCAAAACTCTCTATATAACATGACATTTACCACTGAGTGACGGGGAGGAGTCTATGGATAACAGAAGATAATGGCTGTCCCATATGACATTTATATACTACTGTATCCAATACCTCCTGTGTTCCTGCCCCCCCCCCCCCCCCCCC